TTGAATAGGCTGACCTTAAAAAAAAATTGTTTCGGCATTCAAATGATAAAATAGAAAATCCTAAGAGCCAAGATAGATTAGTGACAAACAAACATGTTTCATTAATATCACTGGCAATGGAATAATGCCATCAAAGTTTTGAGGAGGAAGGAATTTTGAACTAACAGCCAAAAAGGGAGAAGACAAAAGGGAGGAGAAATCACAGAAAATGACATTTGGGGCTTGCAAGCATCTCAGAGTATTGCTCTCTCCATGTAGAAAAATCTTCAGAGAGGTACTTCGAAGCAAGAAAAGAACATGCAACAAAGGGATGGATGCTGTTGTGATCAAATCTTAGTGTGCGTGAGTCAGTTAGCCTCTGACTCTGGGAAGGCGTGAGGCTCCATTTCTCTCCATGATTCAGCCACACTGTGGCTGTTCAGGGCATTCCACTGAAATATCTTAATGATTTAAATCATCTTTGGCATGAAATATAATATAATATTGATAAACCATTAAAAAGGTAGAGGTGAAGGGAATAGAGAGGTAAGTTCAGGTGAGTATGACAGGTTCCTTAGCCTACACAGTAAGAAGTTAACAGAAGCTGTCTAATGTTAATAAATCAAGAATAGGCATAAGGTCTTAAAAGTTACCAAATGCTAGACAAATTAAAAATAATACAACCAACAAAAATTCAGTATGTAAATTCATTTACTGTGTGCTTTCATTTCTTCTATAGTTTAAATAGATTAGTAAATAAATACATTCAAAATTAACACTTGGAAAAGGAATGTTGACCCTAAAATACAATTTTGTGTTTTATATTTGACCTGAAAAGATACATCTTTTTTCTGTAGTACTTTGGACAAATGTTTATTATTCTGCAAATATCAAAAAAAAAAAGTAGTCTTAACACTAGAGCTGTCTAGCAGAGGTAAAAACTTTTCATGAGACTGTGAGCGCTCCTTTTCTAGGAGTGGAAAGACATCACAGAGGCCCCCACAAAGGATCCTACTGTAGGGCAGAATCCTCAGACCTCAGCACTTTTGTATTTGAGGTCAGATAATTCTTTTCATGTAGCCATCGATACATTAAGTAGGACAATTGCATGGCATATTGTATTAGAAACATGGTAGTCATGTTTAGAAGAAGACATTCTAAAGCATTATAAAGTGGATGTTGGTGAATGAACATACATAATTTTATTTTGTGACTGTCTATACTTACTTCCAAAAGAGAATTAGGCCTTTCTCTAGCAACTGAAAATATTCTCTTTGTCTCCTGTCTATCCTGTGCATTGGAAACTGTTAAACAGCGTCCCTGGCTCCTACTCCCTGCATGCCAGCATTGCCAAATGTTCCTTAGCTGGTAATGTGTTCCACTGTACATGCCTCTTCTCTATAGGAGAAGCTGAACTAAGTGACCTCTGTAGGAAGGGAATCAGCATTTTGAATAAACTGTTGTCTACAGAAAATGCTTTTTTTTTTCCAACTCAGGCAAATTTGCTTCAGTTCAGTTCAACTCAACCAGTATTTTTGATGGCCAACTCTATCTGGCTCTGTGCCCAGTGCATATGTCTCTATTTTGACAAATTCTCCTATTTAAGGGAAATAAATGATGAATGATACCCTTGATATTCTTATCCTAGACAAGATTTCTTTCCCTACTAGAAGATGCCCTACATTTCATTTTGCCTCATGTACATATCTTAACAGTTGTTAAGGCTGGCTCAGCAAGTTCCAGTAAAGCCTTCTAAGTTTGAAATTTTAAAATTCAATAATAAAAAATTACTTTGTAGAAGACAGCAAATAAAACTGGAGGTTAGCAGTTTTGAGTGTAAAATGTGATGTGGTGTATTTGAGATTTTAAAAAAGAGCTTAAGATGATCAAGTTCACCTCTTAAGAGCTAGATTATACATCCTTTTTATTAAAAATTCAGAGATTTTTAAGTTTACTGAAATGAAAAGTATAGGTGACATTATTTTTATAAATGATGTGACTCACCTCTACATTGGAATGTATTTTAATTAAGTTTTTCTTTTAAGGCAAATTGTCATTTTTAAAGAAAGTATATCTATAAATGTGTCCCATGAGAGTTGCATTTTTTTCCCTAGAGGTAAACATGGTACTATAAAAGTAAACAGAATCCCTGCTGGTGTGAACATACGAAATTTAATATATTTCCATGAAATTATAGCTTTGCATAATGAGCTTGCTTATTGGGATAACGTCTGAGAACCACAGAGGGCCACAGCTCAGTCCCTTTATGTATGTGGAGGATAAGCCTCCACCCACCTAGTAGCCCTTAGTGCACCCTGGGCTGACCAGAGCACTCCTGAATCTGTCTTTATGCCTAACACCCACACACGCAAACAGAATATACTCTTCTACTGATGCCCATCATATTAGAGGCTATATCTTTTCACTGACAGAAGGATGTCTTAATCTACTTTGATAGTATTACATACCTAGATTATGCTACTATCTTTATCTATGCAAATGCCTAAATAAGCCATTACTTACTAAGATATTCTTTGATTCTATCAAAGATTAATGTAGGAAATGACAATTGAAAAGCATTTTTTATTAATATTCTTTTTCTTGTCTTCATTCATTTACTTGTTTAACAATCTATTACAGGCATGGCACTTTGCTAAGGTATTCCTAAATATATTGTTAAGAACAAAAATATGTTTTCCTGATTTATCAAGTATCCTTATTTAAAGGATAAGAGTTTCAACTGTGCTGCTTTTTAAATTTTTCCTACTAAGAAGAGCAGATTATAGCTCAATTGCAATGAGTATCTTTACTAAACAGTTTTCTTTCACATTATATAGTTCTTGACTGTGTATTATTCTATAAGTGGTTCTGTTATAATGTGGCTTATTTCATATGCCTTGGAAATACTTTTTTGATAGTGTTTGGGCTAAAACTTCACTTTCCAGGTGTCTTACCATTGCTTCCCCAACATGGTTATACCACTAATTTGGTAAAGTGATTTTAAACCTGTTAGTATGAATTTCCATGAAGCTTCTCCTGAATGTTGAGGTGGTTAGACTCAATTTTCCATGGGCCAGCTCAACAGCCACAGCAAGGGACTGTGTTAAGAACCTTCAGTCATGTTCATCAATGTTCATCAGTTTCTCTGGACTGGGATCAAGACACCAGGTGATACTGAGGCTCATCCATCTTTGGGAACCTTTGAACCAGATGGCTTCTTAGATGTCATTTGGTTTTATGAAATGATGATGCTTTTGGAGCCCTGGATCCTGGGAGGCAAAATATAAGCTAACCCTGGGGAAAGAGCTCCAGATACACTGACTGTGCTGCCAGTGACTCAGGCAAAGGGATACCTCAAGTCATAAGAAGAGTTTCTAGCATTTGCACTCCTCTCCCCCAAAGGCATGTTAAGTGATTCTCTCTGATCTCTTGTACACTCTGTGCATATCTCTTTTGTAGAATTTGTCTCATGGTATTATAATTGTGGGATTGTGGGTGAAGATGTTGGATATCTCATTTAAGTGAAATTCATAAACACAGAATATGGATATCACTTTCTGTAATGCCATAAGCCATCCACATAGTAGGCATCAGATAAATATGTGAAAGGCAGAGAGAGAGAGAGAGAGAGAGAGAGAGAGAGAGAGAGAGAGAGAGGAAGAAAGAAGGAAGGAAGGAAAGAAAGAAAGAAAGAGACAGAGAGAAAGAAAGAAGAAAAGAATTATTGAAAAAAATCACTCTGTAATTCCCTCAGTAGTCTTTGCTTTGGAGTCAATAGTCAGCTCTTTCTGACAGACTACAGGGAAGATATTTGGGTGCTATATTAAATCTACTCCAATAGTTTACTGCCTCAATATCACTGATCTCCTTCAAAGTGTGCCTGAAACCCCTTTGTTTTGGAACTGAGTTTATATAGGAAAAAACCTCTTATTCTTAGCAATATGATCACCAGAACCTTGGGGCAAAAATTCTACATCTTTGTCAAAACCTTGCACCAACTGTTATTTATTCTGACTGATTCTCTCCAAGCTAACTCTGTTTTCTTCTACTGAGACAAAGAGGATATTTTCAGTTGCCAGAGAAAGGGCTAATTCTCCTTTGGAAGTAAGTATAGACAGTCAAAAAATAAAATTATGTTCATTCACCAACATCCACTTTATAATGATTTAGAATGACTACCATGTTTCTAGTGCAATGTGCCATGCAATTGTTCTACTTAATATATTGATGGTTGCATGAAAAGAAAAATAATTAATTAATATAGGATATATCTATGTCTAATGTTTAGATTAAATTATTTGATTAAAAAATGCCATAAAAATGGGAGCTTACGCTTTCGTCAACTTTAAATTTCTGATCAAGATTTCTGGACATGTGCTTCATTCTGTTATTTTAGAATGAAGCATTAATTATTTACATTAATTTTCTTATTTCCATATTTTTTTGAGGTACTAGACCTAATTTGGTGACATTTATGTACTGAGGACATTTTCTTAGTGTAGTTTAATTCACTATCTTTTCAAATTCTAATCACCATGTATCAAATTTTTACATAGTGTTAAGGTACATATTTCATAAATCAAAGTGAAAACTTTCAAAATCCAAGTAATTTTAACAGTCATCCCTTTACCCTCTTACAAGTACTGTAACTTTATTATAACAACGGCCAAATTAAACATTCCCACTGTATGTGGAAGTCAACACAGTGTAATATAATGAGTTTGTAGGAAACAGTGCCTGTTCTCATTATGCCAAACAAGCACTATCCCAGTAGATCGGGAGCCCAGATCAATTTTCCACTGAAGAGTGTTGTCTGCACACTGTTAGGGTTTAAGTTGGCACAGCCCATATCTTCATCTGAGGAAAGCACTCTATCTACAGCATCCTACCTTAGGCTGCCAGGGAAGGGACTTGAAATTTCATCCAGGAGCAACTTTCCTTCTGGGTTCTAAACAAGGATAATATCATGCCCTAATAAGTCCTTCTTATATATTATATCATATTTATGTTAGTAGACTACAATGGACCTGGTGAAGGTGTGTGACCAGGTAATTCAGCAGATTCTGTCCATGACACTGTGTTTTGATTTCTTTGTCTTCGGATTTACATTGAGGTGAGGTGAAACCTTACCAACTATGTCTAAGTTATTACATGAAATATCAGAAATGAAGGAGTAATATTTTATCAGTGCATGCAGTGGGCAAAGGCTGTGATCTTTGACTATTTAAATGTCTTTAATAAGATATTTGAAGAATTTTATTAAAGATTTTAGGGCCAGATGGGTAGCCCACACCTGTAATCCCAGTTAATCTTAAGACAGATATCAGAAGGATTGCAGTTCAATGCCAGCAGGGGCAAACAGTTGGAGAGATCCAATCTCAACCAATAAGCTAGGTGTGATGCCTCACACCTGAGATTCCAGCTATGAAGGAGTTATAGGAAGGAAGATACCAGTCTGAGACTGACCTTGGGAAAAATCATGAGATCCTATTCAAAAAATAAAGCCCAAAAGGATTGAGGGTGTGGCTCAAGTAGTAGAACAACTACCTAGCAAGCATGAGGTTCTGAATTCAAACGATAACCCTGCCCTCTCCAAAAATAAGAAAAAGAATTTTGGTATTCTGGAGGTTCCTGGGTAATGTGCCAGTATTGACATGAAACTATGGCAAATATAATAGCATCTAGTTTCCCATAATCTCAAGTTGACTCTTGATGGTGATGTAATAGAGTGTAGTCCCAGGCTGTCCTCTCCAGATTTGTCAGAGATAAACTAGAAGGGGCATCATGAAAGAAGCAAGAGCTGTAACTTTTGTCCTTCCATCTGCTCTTTCCTTCCTTCTTATATAGACTCAGCTCTGAATCTGCTTAGTATGATTTCCGGATCAGAAATTCCTGCTAAACCCATTTTTCCCTGACTCCTTTTCCAGTTAGGTAGACACTGTCCTATAGTTCTCTAATCCAAGAAAGAAATTCTCTAAGGCACACTTGTTGATGACCCTCATGCTACTCTGGATTTTCACCAGACTAATAATCTAGGATTCCTGCCTTTGCCACTTCATATTTCTTGAAATGTAAGGATATTTTATGCTTCACCTTACTCTCTTGACATCTTCTGTGTATACCTAGCAGTACTTTACATTGTTAGCTTCCAATCCTTGCCTTTTCATTTTATAATTCTCAGAACTTCTAGGCTTCTCTTTCACTAAATCTGCCAGCCTTCTTTTTTATCTTCATATAATACACACATTTGAATGAATAAGATGAAAGGTATTTTGCTTTAAATGTATACTTCAATCACAGTCTTTGAAAGTTAAATATTCCTATATCTGCAAGGGGCCGGAAAATCACTTTCCCAACTTTATTTTAGTGAACTTTGGGGGTGGAAGAAGATGTACTTCGGTACCAAAGTCTAAGACAGGATCCTTCTTTCTCAGCTTCAAATGGCACAGGAAACCCCCTTTAGATTTCCAACATACTCTCAGAATAGCACTCCTTTCTGTGCCACCGAGCATGCTTCAGCTTCTTGCTTAAAACCAACAGGAGGCACAGCAGATGTATTAGTAAATCAAAGAAATTTCAAAACCATAAAGAAATGTAGCCCAATAGCACTGAAAATTTCTGGTGCATAAATATGACTGGGAATGTGCTGTGTCCCCTGACTAGTGGGTACCTGAACAGGGAACTGCATGTCATGTCTGCCCCATTTCTGGTGCTGTTGACAGCTGTGGGCAATTGGTGCAATCAGGCAACACAAATTAAACCCTTATGTTTGGCATGAGTGCTAGCCATGGCAGCCAGAGATTGTTTTAGAGGATTCATGGGTGAAAGAATTAGTTGAGGAGAGACAGAGCCCAGGTAAGGAAGATTGTAGTGGGCGGGTATGCTCAAATGGAGGTGAAGGGTAAGGAAGATGGCGAGAGTAGGTTTTGATCTAAGCTTTGGATGTTTATGGCTCCCTGAGTTTCAGGTGGATCTACACTTTATCACCCTAAATAGCCACATAGGACATTTACCTGGTACAATTCTTAATCAGCTGGAGGCTTATGTGCAGAGCCTTGGTTTAGTCAGGTGACTTGCTTGTCCAAGAGAACTCAAGCCTTTTTCCTGAGCATAGTTCTTGTGAAAAATTGAAATAATTGTCCCTTCCCCCCAGAATTTTGTTGCAGAAAGAAGGGCCACATCTGGTCTCATGGGAAACTCAGCCTGTCCACTCTGTCATTGAATCTGGTATATGAATCTAAGAAAGTAATTCTCAAATTTTAGTATACAGTGGCCTCGGAAGTTTGCTAAGCAACCTGGATACTTCAGTTGAAAGCAGAGCCTAAGGACCCTGAACTTTAAGCAGCTACTGAAGGGCTCAATACAGGTTTTAAAGATGATGCTTTGAGAAACGCTAGCCTAAATGAATCTATTTCTACTTAGCTTTATAAAGTAATACTCTAGACATATGGTTTTTACATAAGGATCCTGACATTTCCCTTCTAAAGCAGAGACCTTTGTGCACTGGATGAGGTGTGATTCCCTTGCCTCTAAAAGTAACCTCAGGATTGATTTCACCATTGGCAAGCATGTTTCTAATAGATGGTTCTTTTTGTTTTACAAGGTCAAAGTAAATGATCTTAAAACTTGAATAGACATTGCAGATGTGGACAGACTCAAATGGAATATAATATGCACCAAGGAAAAGGAGAATGGTTAGCAGATAAGTTTATTGTTGCTCATTAGTAGTTGGAGAGCCTATTTTTTTTATTGCTGTGTCACTCTAGATATATGGGTATTTGTCTAAAGTACAGCTAGCACTGTTAACTCACTCATTTCTTTGGAACTGAATAAATTTAATGAGCTTTAATTTGTTGATTTGAAATAAAAAAAACAGTTCTAGGCTTCTAATTTAAAACCCTATTTAATGATTGTTAATTTGAAGGCTTTATAGGAGGATATTGGCATAGGAGTAGTAGATTGAAATTCTTTGTTTCCATCACCATCTGTAACCACTTTGTTCTTTATAAAATTCTAGTTCAGGATGACTTATAAAACACAGATATGGTCAATGGCAGACAAATAAAAGTGCTTTTGTGGGAAACATTTTGCTTTTTTATAACAATAATAAATTTGGTTGGTATGTCTTTTACCTTTTGGTATTTTGTACCTATTCCAAGTGGACTCTAGACTTGTAGCTAGGGGGTGTAACAGCCATGTTGTGAATATGAGGTAGTTAAGGATTGAGAAAGAGTTCCATCTTCAGATGATAGAGAGGAATGCGGGGCAAAGCCTAAGTCTCTTAAGGTATATCAAGCCTCTGTACCAGCCCTACCCCACATGTCTCCCCAAGGACTTCTTGCTTCTTGATTCCATGCCTATTTAAGCCTCTGTGGTAAGTAAGACTTGTTATTTGAAACCACACACTGTCCTGATACAGGTGAAATACTAAACATCTTAATGTGCCTCGAGAATCAGTGATAGTTGAGAATCATTGTGAAATGGACATGTTGCTTTAAAAAAGAAACAAAGGAAAAATAAATAAAAATTTCCTTACAATCATGCACCTCAGGGGGTGCATGGGATTCTTCAAATAGCAATCTATCCTCTTACCCCAGCATACATGCCTATAAGTTGTTTTACAGTTGAGGTAGACAGTTACAAAATGAGTCCGTACCTGCAAGGGTGACAGTGTTTGGTTATTTGTTGAAGTAACCAAAGGAAACAAGCATATTGTGATTGTAGGCAGGACCAACTCTCCCTTGCTCAGAATGGGAGACTGAGAGTGGAATGGCTTGGAGCCATTGGACGAACACTTTTTGGTGGTTTTCTTGATGTGATACAACTGGTGTAAGCATAATCCGATGGCTTCAGAGTTCTCCAGATATGATAAACCAGTCAGGTGAATAGGTCTAAAGGCTAAGTTCTCTAATTATGAGTCTTTATATTTTTAGAGCTGGATATTTGCAACCGTAAGCATGGACTTGATAACCTTAGGACATAGTTAAGCTAGGCATGTTTCTACTAAAATGCTTACCCCAGGAGTTCGTTGGGTTCAATTAGGTAGAGAAAAGAGTCAGGCACAGAGAGTACTGTGCAGAGAACTCTGATTTGGGGTCAGGAAGTTGATCTTTAGTCTTGGCTCTTCCTGTTGATTAATTAGGTGGCTGTAGGCAAACCACAATATCACTAAGCCTCAATTTTATTCCCTAGAAATGAGGAAATAGTCTATGTACTTTAAGATTATACTCAGACCTAAAATTCTGTGATTCTACATTAATTTCACAAGGATAGACTGTTGGCCCTAAAGCAGAATTCTAGTACAGGCTTCCCAGGACCCTAGATAGTTCCTTAGTAATACTATTTAATACCATTATAAACCATTATACCATTATAATATTTAAAATCAGTGAGCAGCTTTGCCAAAAGAGGTACAGTCTTACTCGATGATGGTTTTCCATTTTTGTGGAGCTTTTTGTCCTCTTTTATGAGATTTAATTTGTGGATTTAAGAGATGATAGAAATTTCCCTGAAAGCTTGGTTCTGTCTAAGAGTCTTAACAGGTTTGTCCCTGGTTCACCTTTGTTGATGCACTTCTGTTTCTTATTCACACAGCTGGCTAAAAGTCACATGTTAACAAATCCTTGTGTCACAATTTCTATAAGGGAGGAGGTGGGTGGCAGGAGGGAGAAATGGCCCAAACAATGTATGCACATATGATTAAAGAAAGAAAGAAAATAAAAAGAAACATGGCTCTGGGAGCAAGTTCATTGGTATGTGTGTCAACCAGAGATCACCCAGGCAAGTAGTAGCAGTGGTTGATAATAGCTATTTAGATATAGGTACGTATACACACATGTACATACATAAATACCATTGGCTTTCTGAATATGCAGGTTTGCATCTACAGTGTCAACCAATCTCAGATGGGAAATCTTCAAAAAAATTCCTAATTTCATAATGTGTTGTATGCTATGCTGAATCACACAAATGAAGTGGTGTGTAGACAGATCCTGCCTCAGCCTCTCCATCTCTGAACATTGTTCCCTTTTCATCTTTTCACATAGTATGAAGTTAGGACTATAATGGTATTGGTACTAACATGTACCAACATTTTTTCTTGTCACGATTCCCTAAACAATACAGTATAATACTTGTGCTGTGCACAGCATTTACATTGTTTTAGGCATTGTAAGTAATCTAGAAACGATTTAAAGTATATGAAAAAAAATATATATATAGGTTATATGCAAATGCCATCCCATTTTATATAAGAGAGTTGAGTATCCACAGATTTTGGTAACTATATGGGGTCCAGGAGCCCATCCTTCTTGGATTTATTGCACAAACATACACACATATACATATATTTTTATGTGAGAGATATTTGTGTGTGTGTGTGTGTGTGTGTGTGTGTGTGTGTATGTATTCCTGGGTTCTTGGTTCATTGTAGGCATTTGGCCTTTGCAAATATGGGGGCTGGTGAATCAGTCTCTGTAAGGGTATTGTCTCTGATGCTGGAGTTTTAACTTTCCCTAAAAGGGAAGGGAGATCACCAACAGGCAAGCATGAGTTGGAACTACACAAGGATAGACAGAAATCTATGTCTGCTCTTGTTAACTCTGACCTTGCTTACAAGGATAACTTCTGGAATGAATAAACTAAGGCCTTTTGTCAAAGTGTTAAATGCTGACACCTGGCTCAAGAGTCAGAGGAAGTTGAGGAAGAATTCAGAGGAGGAACAATTGCACAGCCAGCTGCTCTTTCAGGTCAGCGTGCAGCAGATCGGCAGCAGGTATGAGCTGCAAAACCGTGGCTTCCTTCCTTCTGCTTCCCAAAGCTTGCAAAATCTCTCATATGGCCCTGCAATCCTAACATGCAAGAAAGAAAATTCTGAGAAATGTAGTTCCGCTGAGCCAAATTGACTCATTACAGAGCCATCACAGTGGGAAATATGAAGAAGTGTGAAGCATATTTCTTGACCCATAGGTCTTGATAGCTCATTTAAATCAATGGAATCTCTATAAAGTGATTGGCATAATTCTTGTAAACTGTTAGTTCCTTTTTCCAGGTAGCCTGTACTGTGGGAGAGTTAAACCCACATCCATTCTTTTCTATTTTAGTAATACTAATTCAGATTGTATGGATGGTCACACTTTAATAAAATAAAAAGGGCACTATATTTTATATAGCTTTGCTTAGCATGAGAGTTTAGTTATTGGTATGAGTGGTTCACATAGCTGCAGAGTTGTGTCATTTGTTTATTGGTCCAAAATTAAGGCTATAACTTAATATAATAAATTACTTCTTAATCCACTTAGCTGGTTTGCAAGCCTAGCTACTAGCTTTGACTGATTAATCCTGTTGAACAATGAGAGTTTGAGGTCATTAGATAACTTTCTGAGCACTTCCACTCCAACCAATAGTATTACTGGTATCAGATCCATTTTCTTTTTTGTCAGGCTATGCTGCCTTTATTGTGATACTATAATTTAATTATTGTTAATTTCTAAACATTGATTTCTAAATCAATGTTAATTTCTAAACAGAGATTTTTATTGATAAAAAATCTTCTGAATGCTTCCAGAAGATTAAATAAAAGCTAATTACTTCTTTAAAAAATATTGTACATTAAGAATGGCCAAAGTAACTTTAAAAAGGCCAAAAAAAATCTCCAAATTCTAGAAGAATTCTCCATCCAGACTGCTTAGCAAATCTATTCTCTTTTGGGATATTTACAAGAACATGCATTGAAAACCTTAAAGTGTGTTTTTTCCCCTGGGGAATATTACACATAACTCAGTGAGCTCATTTTTAGAGAAAGGTTCTTGTCCTGAGAATAGATAATTGATATGTCTACGTATTTTGATTAAAAATTTTAAAAATATGAAGTCTGGTGGACTAGCTTAAATGGTAGAGAGCCTGCCTATTGAGTGTGAGGCCCTGAGTTCAAAACTGAGTACCACCAAAACTTTTTTTTAAATACTCAAAATTCTAGCTAGTATAAAATATAATATTAGGATATAAATGATATCCACAGTAGAAAAGAAAAAAAGTAAAGTTGTCTTTACTCAGTTTTCATAATTATATAACTAGAAAATTCCAAAGAGCCAACAATAGTTGCAAAAACTTCTGGAACTAATTGGTAATTATAAAAATGATTTCTTTTCTGCCTTCTTCTGTGGCAGAAAAGAACCATTGGAATTTTAAATTAAAAATATACAATTCACAACAGCATCAAAAATAATGAAGTACTTAAGTATAAAAATAACAAAATCTAAGAGTCTATGTGTGAAAAACTACAAAACTCCAATGAAAGAATATAAAGATATAAAGAACCTGGGTGTGGTGGCTCATGCCTGTAATTCCAGCTACTTGGAAGGCAAAGGCGGAAGGATTGCAAGTTCAAGGCCAGGCTGAAGTTAGTGAAATCCTCGCTCAAGCGGTAGAGCACTTGCTTGCATGTGCAAAGCCCTGGATTCAGTTCTCAGTACAAAAAAAATGAAATAAAGAAGATCTTAATAAGTGGAAAGATAGTGCATGTTTGTGTATTGAAAGATTCAATATTGTTAAGATGTCATTTCTTTTTAAGTTGAACTATATACTCAATGCAATACTAATTAAAATCCCTACAGATATCTGATGGATTTTTGACAAACTGGTTCTAATGTCAATATGGAAAGGCAAAGTCCTAAAATACTGAAGAAGAACAAAATTTGAAGACTCACCCTACCTAGTTTTAAACTTACTATTAGGCTTGAACATTCAATATATCACAGTTTTGGTAAAAGAAAAAATTACGAGTCAGTGGAGAAATAGTTCTATCCAGATATAAGCAGTCAATATTTGACAAAGGTTCAAAGGCAAATCAATGGAGAAAGGATGGGTTTTTTTTCAACAAATAGTGCTAGAACAATTGAACATCCTTATGCAATATATGTACCTAGACACAGATCTTATACTTCTCACAACAGTTACCTCAAAATGAATCATGGACATAAATATAAAATACAAAACAGTAAAATTTCTAAAACAAAACAGGTGAATTTGGTTTTATTGATGAATTTTTAGGGACAAAACCAAAAGCATAATTCATGAAAGAGAAAATTAGTAGCTTGAATTTTACCAAACTTAAAAACTTCTCAGTAAAAGCATAAGAGAATGGGAAGAAAAGCCATAGACTGGGAGAAAATGTTGAATGCATATCTGACAAAAATTTGTGTGCAAAATATACAAAATTTTTTTTTGAATGGAGTCCTGCAATGTTGCCCAGACAGGTATTAAAGTGATTCTCCTTTTGCTTTTGGATCTTGGATGATGGTACATTGTGGGCTGAAACCACACCCAGCTTATACAAAGAATTCTCAAAAGTAAACAATAAAACCAATTTAACATGTGAAAAGGATTTGAAGAGAAACCTTATCACAGAAGATGTAAAAATGGTAGATGAGTAGATGAAAATGTACCCCACATCATTGTTCTTTAGAGAATTGCAAATGAAACAATTATGAGATGCTACTATACAACTGTTAGGATGCCCAAAATCCAAAAAACTATCAATAGTAACCATTGACGAGGATGCAGAGCAACAGAAGCTCTCATTCATTGCCAAAAGCAATGCAAAAAGCGATAGCCACTTGACAGTTTCTCACAAACCTAAACAGTTTTATCATATGACCTAACAACTGAGCTCCTAGTTATTTATCTAACAGGCTTGAAAACATTTTCACACTAAAACCTACATGCAGATGTTCATGGCAACTTCATTCATAACTTCTGGAGCCTAGAAGACACACGTTACCGTAGGTGAGCTATGATACATCTATACAATGGAACATTCTTCAGTGATAAGAATATTGAGCCATCAAGGTTTTATCACTGCATAATATTTCATTGCATGAAATATGGATGATTCTAAACACATATTGCTTATTGAAAGAAGTTAATCAAAAAGGCTGTAAGTTTTATGATTCCATTTATATAACATTTTGGAAAAAGCTAAATTTTAGAATTTTAGAAATTTAAAGATTTTAGAAATTACTAAGAAAGTTAGAGGATTCCGGATTGAATACAAAATATGATGAGATAATCTAACTATATTACAAATATATGAAGAAACCTCACTAAAGAGAATGAGGAGGAGAGAAGGATACTGTCCTCAGCAGCTTCACAAATAAAGAGTTTTTAAATCCAAAGGCCAGAAACCGTCCATAAGCACTGTTGTTTAGTTGGCAAGGTTGCTTTCCCTGTGAATGTGTTAACTACTTTTACACCATTGTATTTGTGTACTGGAAGAGACCAATTAAATAAATGAATGATGCACAGTGGGAACTAGATGCACTTTGGCATTCAAATTTACCGATAGTTAAGAAGAGGAAGCTGAAATGATACATTTGGTAATAGATTACAGTTGAAGACACCAGTATGACCTCGTGTTTAGTTTAATATAAATACAGATGATTACACATTGAGATGTTCATAGATATATGTGCAAGTATAACTGAGTACACATACACATGCGTTTCCTTGCTCTGCCTGCTAAGATCTCCCAGAGGGAACCACACCACAGTAGCAATGAGCATGCATAGAAACCGGATGTTGGTTTCTAGTGCTGTTTTCAATAAAAATTATCAGGCCTCCTTGACTGATTCTAGAACTTGGGCAGGAAATATGCAACATAAGCTTTAGGAATCTCATGATGCTAGAAGGTAAGGAAATGCACAAAAACAAAATAATCCAAGGCAGTGGCTCATAGCTGTAATCCCAGCTACTTGAGAGAATCATGGTTTGAAGCCAGCTCCAGTAATAAAGTTAGCAAGACCTCATCTCAGCAAACAAGTGATATGTGGTGGTTCATATCTGTAATCCCAGCTATGTGGGAGTCATGGGTAGGAGTATAGCAGTCCAAGATCAAACTGCACAAAAAATATGAGATCATATCTGAAAAATAACCTTAAAAAAATGTTAAGGATTGAAGGAGTGACTCAACTGCTGGAGTGCCTGTCTAGTAAGTAAAAGACTCTGAATTCAAACCCTAGTACCATCAAAACAAAAAAACCACTGCCCCCCCACAAAAAACCCCACAAATACAAACCTTCAACAATAGGAGTAAACCTAAAGGCCACAGATACCAAATGAAAGAGTTTCCAGTAATCACAACTGGAACAATGGGAAAAAAATAAATTTGTATTGGATTATAGCCCAAAGTATAAAGTAAATGCCCAAGAGTCCTGACGAGTATAAATTACTGAATAAACAAACATGGGAGGACAAACTAGTCTCCAGTGCAGAAGAATTCCAAATGATTTATGTAGATAGTGCCCATCAAGGAAAGGAGAATAACCCCTCACCTTTAGGTCTGGGCTCTGCTCTCTGGAGTAGTCACTCCTTCCAAAAAGTGCTTCATGGAAAGGGGGGAAAAGAGACAGGTAGTGAGAATCCTGAAGGACACTGCACAGCCATACAATTAAAGTTAAGTTCTACATGATGTTATGTTGATGGTATATATCCAACAGGTTGGAACAAAAATAGCATTCCATATTATTCCTCCTCAAAACACATAACCCCACTCTGATTATGAGAAAACCTCTGACAAATTCTAGTTGCATGGCATTCCACTACATGCCTGTTCTGTACCCCTCAAACTTTAGCATCTTGAAAACAAAGAAAGCCTGAGAAATAGCTAAGTGGAACTAGAGGCATGACAAGGAATTGTGCTGTGCCTCTGGGATGGGAGAACCCTGGAATGGTAAAAGGATAATAAGAAAGACTCAGAAACTCTGAGAAAAGTAGAGG